TTTTAAATATGAATTGAAAACTTAATTATTTTTAGGAGTTACCCATTAATTTTAAGTTTTTATTATAATAAATCTTTAAAAAATTACTATTCCACATCCCTAATGGAATATAGATCCACTAACACCCTAACAATAAAGGAAATAATATTTAGAATAATAAAATTTCGTATTTCCTTCATTAACTTCATTTTTCGCACCCTATTTGATATTAAATGGAATCTCTTAATACTTAAAACTTCTATTCAGGATTCTCAAGATTTGCCAATTACTACCTCACAAATGAGGGTTTTTTGATGAAAAATACACAGTACTTCTCCATGGTGTTGCTCAACTCGCACCCATCAGCAGCCACCGCCCACCGCCCACCGCCTTCTTCCCAGACAAACCGCATCTATCATCAACCATCGCCCGACATCTGCTATAGCCACCCTTTGCTCCTTCTCCATTCCAAGCCACTGCCCCACCTGCCTTGCCATAATGGATACCTTTTTTGGTCGCTACTCAACGAAAGAATTTGGTAGGGAAAAGACCGTGCCTTTGGCTACTTACACCACACTGCCACCGAGAATCACCGCCAAACTTGCCATCCTAGATGCGCTATCAGTCCGTAGCAAAACTCTCATAGAGACACAACCCACTGAGAAAAGAATAATGGAAACACTAGAGAGAAGTGAAACTACCAAAAACTCACATAAGAAGGAATTTTACTTCCTATGGGGAGAAAATCTAATTTCTAAAACCTCAACAGAGCACATCTCATCCACAGCAAAATCACTTCGGCCATGAAGCCCATTATATTTACAATACACAACCTCTAGCCTCAAGCGCCACAACATTTTTTTTGGGGAAACATAGGAATAGCATAAGTAACACAGAAATTACAACTCGAGTTTAGAGAAATCAACCCGATCATGTCAGCTAAAACAAACATAGAAAGGCCCTAATTGCAGTTATCAAAGATAATAATTAAAATCCAAAACAGGCCCATCTTAGAGAGGAATTAAACTCACTCCACAACATTGAGATAGCAATTTTGACTTTTACTATTTAATTATCTTGTAGGGTATGGTTATGACCCATACTATTTTGTTAAGGTGACATGGATATATTAAATATGATTGATATTTTATTAGTTTATAATTTTTTTAAATAATTAATTATAATATTTTGAAAATATTAGTTTTTAAATTAATTTTAATATGTTAAATAATAAGTATTAATTATTTTATTAGTTATTATCTATTTTAATAATTAAATTAAACAAAATTGTGTGGTATTATCATTATGGCACATGGCCATAAGTCCATGACCACACCCATTGTTGTAGTATTAGGCATTGTTTAGATTAATTATTTAAATATTATTGATAATTTATAAATTATATCTAATTATTGATAATTATTATTATTTTTTTATTTTGGTTGCACAATGGGATGCAACAATTTTCCCTCTTTTATTCCATCTTTTATCCCACCTCACCTGAATGCCATGTGATTTAAATTTTTAGTAAAAGGAGATAACCATTAACTTATTTAGATCATTGGCTAACTATTGATAATTATTGTAATTTATAATTCAATATACTTGAACCATTTGATTAGAATTAATGATTAATAGTTGAATATAAAACTTAAAGGGAAATGATTTGAGGATAACTTTTTTGTATCATCTTTTGATATAACTTGACATGTCATTTAAATAATTAGTTTTTTTATTTATGTGAGACCTATAAAATTAAATATATCAACTTATTTAATGACATGTAAAAATCGTATCAAAATATAATATAAAAAAATTATTCCTATAACACTGCGCAACTTTAAACCCTTTACTTTTCATTAAAAAACTTTTCTTAGATTCTTTCATGAGTAACATTTTTGGAAACTGGGAGGAAATTTATTAAATTTATTGATGCTTACATATATATATATATATATATAATTGTTGATGCTTATAAGTGGCAAAAAAATGAGACATGTAATATGTTATAACAGATCAATACAATGATATCACGTAATCAAATAATTATTGAGTGGTTTAATTTATTTTATACCTTTCTAGAATTTGTGGAAACTATATATCAAGTGATTTCAACCTCACTTTCAAACGTAGAAACTTTTCTTAGTCTCTGTAATTGATAAGCAGAAGAAGTGTCGAATTTGTTATTAAATGACTATCTTCGAGGTTTAAATTATATTTGTGTAACCAGTTTAGTAAAATTACATTTTCTTTGAAGGAAGCTATAACTTTGGTTCCTTTTATATTTGCACAATTCAACCACTCCTACAGTTCAAGAGGAAAATCAAAGAAGCTCTAGTTGATGGTGATTGGTGCATATATTATTTCACTCCAAATCTTTAAAAAAATGAAAAAATCTTCACGAAAATGACCAGAATCCTCAATTTCATTGATGATGTATATTTGATTTCTTTTAACTTCTTTTTATTATTGTTAAAGGAGTGTTTTCTAATTATCAAATTAGAAGATCCTGATAATGA